TCCGGTAGAGGAGGCTACAACTCGCACTGCGGAAGTGCAGACTACCCCCTTGGTATTCGAGGAAGAAGAGGTTGGCGACCCCCCTAACCCCGGTCTGCAAACTACCCTTCCCCGGACTACTCCGACTCCTGGTAATGTGGAAGAAGAAGTCCTACAGATCAGGGCAGCCATGAGGGAGATGCAGGAGATGATGCGAGTCATCGTTCAGGAACGGAACACAAGTAAGAATTCGGGAGAGAGGGGGGAAGCTCATCATGTTATATCTGAGGGCTATGCGTCTAGCGACTTTGATAGTGTCCATTCGGGTGAACTGCCATTCGAGGAGAATGTACGTCCGACGAGGGAAAACGTCGGAGTGAACCTCCTCAACTCTAGTGCGCATGCTCCGGCAGGCGTGAGAGTACAGTTCAGTGATGGGATGGCACACGGATCGGTCGAACCTCCCCGTAGAGGAAACCAGACGGGTAGGGAGTTCGACGATCCTGCATCACAACATCACCCGGATTCGGACCGTAGGCCACTCAATCAGAATTATAAGGAGCGAGTTCGACGCGAGTGTCACAAGCTCGCGGTCAAATCCGAGATCTTCACTGGGAAGTCTTCCCAGGAGATCACCATCGCCAGCCTGCATAGAGATATAGAGGAAACAGCCGAGGACCACGGCTGGGACGAACTCTCAGTCGGATCTTATTACCTCTTGAGGTATCGACTGAGCAGGTCGGTTTGGGATAATGTCATCGACTCCATTGGGAAGTCCTTTGATAGATCATGTGCCGCTGGCTTCAAAGCCAGGGTAGAAGCCATATGGAGGGTTCTGGAGCATACTTACTCCAATGCCGTTGTGAGAGACAAGCTTAAGACTCAGTGGAAACAGCTGAGACGTAATCCAGCCGAGTCGTGCCGAGATTTCATCAGCCGTGTTCAGAACGCCCGAAAGGAGCTACAATATTCAGAAGCGCTGGTTGAAGACTCTGACGAAATCAGTATCTGGCGTAATGGTCTCTTTGGACCCTACAGTGATTGGGTGGGCCAGTACCTCGCAGTCGCAGCTGTTGAAGGACACCCATACGGCCCTCGATCTATTCAGCAGTTGAGAGCTGAGATTCAGATCCGAGGCGATGAGTACGAGATCGACACGGGATAGTGGCAGTCCCATCGACCTCCACGTCACTTTCTGCAG